TTAGGGTTTATTATTTTCTTAATGGTTCAGCTTTATATAATGTATTGTTATGCCGAGGTATAATTTCGTTTTATAATTTTGTAGACTAGGTGTTTAGATTGTTTTTCTGTCCTATGAAGCAATTATTTTGGCCAATTTAGTGAAAATTTCGTGTTTATATTGATGTATTAATTATGTAATAATATTCTAGAATGCATTGCATAATTTTTATGGCATACTTATTATTGTAAGCCTAGATCAGAGTAGAACATTCTAGAATCTCCCAGGCGTCTCTGGGTGGTGCTAGAATGTTCGAAGGGCTTCGGATGAGGTATATAAGCAGTAAGCACCCGCGAGCTGTCACTAGCTTTTATTTATGTACAGTATATGTATGAGCAGGCGAGGAGTCAGTCCCCCACTTCCACTTGGAGTACCCACCAATACCACTCAGCACGATCAGCAGTCTTAGATTTATTCAGCAGAACCAGCCAACTTAAACTTCAATCAGTACAAAACAAAGCTATCCGTAGAGCATCAAAGCAACTCCCGCCATACACCACCAAAATACAAGAACTCCACGAACTATACAATATCGAACCACTGAACACACGAACACACAGCCAAGCTCAGAGAGTTTGGAGCAAACTTTAAGAGTTGGAGGACCCAATCTTCTCCCAGTTAAAAGAAGAAGAAACCACAAGAACACAGCTGGTGGCCCAAGGGCCTCCATGCCAACATAGAAGAGCAAGACCCACTTTATATATATATATATATATATATATATATATATATATATATATATATATATATATATATATGAACAAATAACAACACCACTTGACAAACATAAATTAACACACATTACACTAATGAATGTCAAGCTAGCTTAGCTCCCCAGGTCTCCTCTGAGCGGGCGGGCGTCTGCTGCGTATGGTTCCATACAGTATGGCCACCACCCTAACCAATTACCTCGACTCAGCTAGGTGGACACACCTGCTATCACTCCCTACTACTTTACTTCCCGTTTCTATGCTTTTCTTATCTCTCTCCTCTCCTGTGGCAAAGTCATTTGCCACTTTATTTCATCATCATCATCATGGGTCAGTCAATTGCTTCCGCTCAGAGTGTAAAGAGTAAGTCTCGCAGAACAACTGAAGGCATTGTGGAATTGTTGTGATTAATATAAAGTGAGAAGACTAAGGAATTGTACACTGGTAGTGTGCTGACTATACAGCATATTCGAAGTGAGAAGTCCAGCTGTGAAGCCATTACCCTGTGAAGTGTTGTGAAAAATCAGTGCTTATTAAAGAAGACTACAGTGCACAAGTGTGTTTCTGTGACCTGGTGGAAGTCGACCTGTCTGATGTTTGTCTGTATACTGATACCGATCATCAAGGAATTACCGGAGACTGGCGGGACAGCCAGTGGTAATACTTTTATCCTCTTCACCACTGATTGGCTCGTTAGCCGCTTGGGCGATCGGCCACGTCTCTGTTACGCACTGTTGGCAAGTACTGGGCATGCACCGGCTCCTGAATGTACAGTCTCGTTCAAGATTCTTCGAACACTGCTGGAGACAGCTGGCAACTCAAGGTCATTTGTTACTATCGTACGTAGTAAAAATTATGAATAAATGTAAAAGTGATCAGTGATTGGTTACTTAGTTCCCCGTTGCTTAATTTAATGGTAGGGATTTGTTGTTTCGTATTATATTATACTACGTACTATAGTAAACAAACGGCCTTGAGTTTCCAGCTGTCTCCAGCAGTTCGAAGAATCTCGAACGAGACTGTACCTGAACCTGCTCCAATGTTGGTCAAGTCTTGTCTTGAAAGAGCTCAAAATCGGTGCCGCCACAACACTTTCTGGTGGATTGTTCCAAGAGTTCACAAATCTCACTCCGAAAAAGTTTGCCCTCACAGTTTTCTGGACTTGCGGTTTCTTCAATCTTGAGCTGTGACCCCTTGTGGGGTGTGCGTCCGCCAGCTCCAAGGACACTCAACTGAGTGAGATAACTACTGCTTCTGTACATACGACCCCTAGCCACGGGTAACCAGTGGTGGAAGCTGGGTAAGCCGTGAAAGGAGAGGGTCGTAACAGTATCAATGTTCCTAAATTAACAGTCAGGGAATGTTGTGACCCGCTGTTGTGTGGCTTATGTGAGTCACTCGTTATAATTATACAGTAACACTACATGACCCAACTTTCCTCCACACACGTCATTCCTCCCACACATCCCTCCCAACATATCCTTCCCCACACATCCCTCTCCTCACCACATTTCTCTTTATTTGGGTCAGCAGAACAATACAAAACACACACACTGTAGGCAGCACTTTACCGGCGTCGTAGTTGACCAATGTGTGAAGGCAGAACAACCAGCTGAAGCAACTGTAGTGGATACGCTCCCCTACAACTGTCGCTGACCAGCCGATCCCGCGGCGAGTTTCTCAGCGAAGCTTAACTGTCTGCCTGCACGGTGGTCGGCCAGTAGTAACGTTCACTTCCGGCGGACTCGTGCATATATACCCCCAGCCTCGCCGTGAAGAGGATTCTACTCAGCGCTCTCAAACAGACAAGACCTCCCCTCAACAAGCTCCTCACCACACAGCAACTCCCTAGCACTGCATTGTATATAATATACTGTATACATAGAAAACGCCATAGTGAGTTTCCCTTCTGACCTCCACCCTAGTGCGATCCTACATCACGTTAACCCCACACAACAGTAAAAAAAAAACCCGACTAGGCTCTACGATTCAATAATTATGCATTTAAATATAAAAACAAGAAAGAAATCGGTCTGCTCCACGTGATCACACTAATATAATGTGAATTTAAAAAGAAAAGGCAACCTCAGCGATTAAACCTAATTTTTTTTAATTAAATATCTTGCTTATCCAGACAAGCACTGAGACTTTTTTTTAACAAATAAAAAATCGCAGAGAAATCAGACAAGTCGTAAAAAAAATCACCAAGGAATCTACTTGTCAAAGACGAAAGCTATTTGGTATTTAAGCAGGGTGATCTGAGCTGATTAAAAAATATATGACAGAGGAAAACACTTACAACCATGGATAAAATGGAAAACATGAACCCCGACCATTTTTCCAAGCTGCCACAATTGACACAAAAGTGGGATCACACGAAGATTAGCCCCTCAACTTATTTCACTTGATGATTAAAAACCTTAATGCTATCTGGGTTATGTTAATTGGAGTTAGAGTAGGTAATATTAGCTTAAAATAGGTTGGCTTAATTTAGCCGTGGGATGGTTAATCTTAGGATGACAAAAAAAAAGTATGGTCATAGATTCATTTTACAGTCATGATGCAGAAGCAGAACCCCCCCCCCCCAAAAAAAAAAACACTACTTGTGGAGGAGTTTTCCTGCTGAGGGTGAGGGGGAGGGGAGTAGGGCGTTGGGGGCAGGAGTAGCGTTAACCTTTTAAACAACCCTGACGAACTTAACAGGAAGAGAGAGAACACCTTAATAAACCACACACTTCCTTCCCCTTCATTTATACCACAATCACTATTTTTTTTAGTTCCCCCCCCCCCTCCCCCCTTTATCCAACTATTATGGTGACCCCCAGTTGGAACCAGGGGTTTTGGGTGGGGGGAAAGTTACAAAAAGTTGTAATTTGCGATAGAAATGAAGGTCAGAATCGTTCTAAACACATTAAAAAAAACATCGGAAAAACATAATTTCAAACCTAACCTAACCTAACCTAAATCAAAACCCACCAATCAATGTCTAAAGAACAACCGCGTCTGGTAACCTAAAATCTTAAAATTCACTGGATGACTGAAACGATAATAATACCAATTGAGTTAGGTTTGATTGTGTTAGTTTATGTTAGGTCGTTTTCAGTCTATATACATTAAAAAAAAACGCTGATTGTTCTTCTTATACTCAGTAACTCGATCACCAGAAATTAAACTCGACTACCACCACTGCCGCTCCATTTCGATTTCTTCTTTAATTGGGTTTGATAAATATGTGATTGGGTGTGAGTCGTGACAGCTGTAGTATCTTACATGATTTAATGGGAGAAGGAGAAGCCACATGCTGACTTTTGCTCAAGTGGTTTATTCTGCCTAACGCACTCTTGATTACATAGGCCTAAACACATTCTAACTTTGGTAAGAAGGAACATAATTAATAATGTTTATATAATCAATAGAGGCAGCATATAAACATACAGATATATAACAACAGCCATTACTGATATAGTTGTCAAGATAGTGTCATCATCAACCAGTCAATCTGTCGCTATTGTGAACCAAATTACCAGTGTGAACTTGTGTGACGATTTTAGTGATGAACATCTATTTATTTATCTTTCTATCTACTTATAACACAGCGGTTGTCACGTCTCCATGGTTACAGGAGGAGGAAAAGGCAACCAACAGGGCAAAGCCTAAAATCTTAGTAAGTTGATAACGGAAGAGAAAAACTATATGGCATAGTTATATTGACTTCTACTATTATTATAATTTCATTAATCTGTTATAAAAAGTTTTCCAAGTTAGTCAAACATACATAGTGTTGATTATTAAGTAAGTGTTGTATGTATGTATGTATCTGGAGGCGTCATAACATAAAATTGAATTTCGCGCCTCTTGCCTTGGTAAATAAGGACTATAACGTAAATCCTTTCCAGTGTGCAATATGATTTCTGTATGGTTCATATTTTTACTCTTATATTTTCTATATAGTTAAGTTATAATATCACTATCAATAAATATAAATAAAAAAATATGGAAATTACATACTTTATCTTGTTTACAATGGATATATTGATGATCCACGTCTATGTAGAAGTTTCATCATGTTACATATTTTTATTCTGAATAAATTTTGAAACAATCTAAGCTTTGTAAACTAATATTAAGCTTTAAATTCTCTCTCCTAAAAGTGAGCATGTAATATGTTGGAGAATCTGACATTTGATTGGCTGATGAAAGAAATACTGGGGTGTGATTGGTGGAGACGGCCCACCCTTCGCCCTGATTGGTGGATCACGTCAGCAGTTGTGTCCCAGTAAAAGTGTTCAACACTGATAGTCAATCAGTGTTAGGAGCTGTTGATACCGGGGCAAAGTGAGGCTAGATCTACCTGTGTGTGGTGAGGAGTGAGCTAGACCCCCCAGCAGCTCTCGCAGGACGGTCGGGGTGGCGAGAAGCTGGTGAGTGTGTGATAATGGCGTCTGAGAGAGCCAGGTCACAGGTCCACCGCGCCCCCCTCCTCAATACCTTGATATTGGTGTTTGAGGTGGAGGTCAGGTCACCCCAAGGCCTCACCTGTTGACCCTTGTGTTGTGTGATTAATGTTTATGTTTACCGCTGTAAGTCACCAGTGTACTGGTTAGTGAGTCACCACTGTACTGGTTAGTGAGTCACCACTGTACTGGTTAGTAACTGTAAGTCACCACTGTACTCGTTAGTGAGTCACCACTGTACTGGTTAGTAACTGTAAGTCACCACTGTACTCGTTAGTGAGTCACCACTGTACTGGTTAGTAACTGTAAGTCACCACTGCACTCGTTAGTGAGTCACCACTGTACTGGTTAGTGAGTCACCACTGTACTGGTTAGTAACTGTAAGTCACCACTGTACTGGTTAGTGAGTCACCACTGTACTGGTTAGTAACTGTAAGTCACCACTGTACTCGTTAGTGAGTCACCACTGTACTGGTTAGTAACTGTAAGTCACCATTGTACTGGTTAGTAACTAAGTCACCACTGTACTGGTTAGTAACTGTAAGTCACCACTGTACTGTTAGTAACTGTAAGTCACCACTGTACTGGTTAGTGAGTACTGGTTAGTTAGTCACTGTACTGGTTAGTAAGTCACCACTGTACTGGTTAGTGAGTCACCACTGTACTGGTTAGTAACTGTAAGTCACCCACTGGTTAGTGAGTCACCATTGTACTGGTTAGTAACTGTGTCACCACTGTACTGGTTGTCACCATTGTACTGGTTAGTAACTGTAAGTCACCACTGTACTGGTTAGTAACTGTAAGTCACCACTGTACTGGTTAGTGAGTCACCACTGTACTGGTTAGTAACTGTAAGTCACCACTGTACTGGTTAGTGAGTCACCACTGTACTGGTTAGTAACTAAGTCACCACTGTACTGGTTAGTAACTGTGTCACCATTGTACTGGTTAGTAACTGTAAGTCACCATTGTACTGGTTAGTAACTGTAAGTCACCATTGTACTGTTAGTAACTTAAGTCACCACTGTACTGGTTAGTAACTGTAAGTCACCTCTACTGGTTAGTGAGTCACCACTGTACTGGTTAGTAACTAAGTCACCACTGTACTGGTTAGTAACTGTAAGTCACCACTGTACTGGTTAGTAACTGTAAGTCACCACTGTACTGGTTAGTAACTAAGTCACCACTGTACTGGTTAGTAACTGTAAGTCACCATTGTACTGGTTAGTAACTGTAAGTCACCATTGTACTGGTTAGTAACTGTAAGTCACCATTGTACTGGTTAGTAACTGTAAGTCACCACTGTACTGGTTAGTAACTGTAAGTCACCATTGTACTGGTTAGTAACTGTAAGTCACCACTGTACTGGTTAGTGAGTCACCACTGTACTGGTTAGTGAGTCACCACGGGTTATTATGCTGCTCAGTCATACTCTTTGTTTATTCGTAGTGAATATTTTGCCATGACCGGCTAAGTTCCTTCTAACGCTATTTCACCATGAGTGCTCTCTGAGTACTTTATACTTAATATGGCAGGGGTGTCTGCCTTCAAGGTTAGGAAGGTTTCTTTGGTTGGTTAGGTCAGGTTCTATTAGTTTCTAGTAAATGTCACCTCTTTTATAATGATAAGTTCCCTGCTCAACAGAAATATGGTTAGGTATGTTTACAGCTACACAATGATCGACTCATGGCGAAATAAATGCCAATTGCCGTCAGTCATGATCAAATATAGTTCTCGTGTTGTTCACCGGTAATGGATCATGAGCCAGTCAGAGCGCACTCATGGCAAGATATCACTAGTAGGAACTTTGCCGGTCACTGCAAAATATCCGCTGTCTTGTTTATTCGGTATTATCATCATTTAAGTCATCCGGGGAATCATAGGAATTTAGGTTAAGTTAGATATAATTCCTGGGTTCTGTGGCTGGGTTAGGTTAGGTAAAGTAAGATGAAAATCATTCAAAGCGTCAAAAACTGTCGGAAAAACATAGGGATGACCGAAATGATAATCTTACTGTTTATTCATCCTAGGTGTTGTACAGTAAAGGATCGCCACTTTATTCTTTAATACAGATTGAAGAAATTTGATTTTTTATTTTAATTCTCATAATGTAATTCTGGTGAGGAGCAACAAAAAAGTAATTGGTAATATTTAAGAAGCAGCAAGTAGGTCATGGTGACGAATTTGGTGCTTCAGGAAGGTCACATAATTCATCGAGATTACAGAATTTGAGTACAGTGTATACCACCTAGTGGATCATTCTTGCTAACATCGTTCTGGGGTGGTTTTGTTACCTCACTTTAGCCCCTGGTAGCCTGCCTTAACCTATCTGCTGCTTCTTATCCCTTAAACATCAGCCAAAGATTCCTTACTCCTCCTCAACATGCACAAAGACGGAACATAAAGAATGTAAAGCACCCACTGATGATGGCCACCTTCCTTGTAGCTAACTTCCACTAATGATGGCCTTTGTTTAGGGGTTCAGCAAATTTCAAATGGTTTTATCCATACTTCTCACTGGATTTGTATTGTCATAAAATAAATTTTTTTTGGAAATTCTGAAGAAATAAAGCTATTAACAGGACTGCAGACCAGAAAGACACCTTTTTCTGATACAGTATTTAAATTTAATATTCTAACATTTTGCATTTCTTCATAAAGTGTTGTGTTCTTGTCATCAATTGTTGCCCAGGTGAATAGTGGGATTTAAGTTCTATTTGACAGCAGACATGAAACAAACAAACCTGACCAAGTGATCTATAGATTTTTTTAGGCATTTCTTTTAGTGTGAGACTCTTAAGACACAACTCTGTCCCCTACTAGTCTTCCTGGGCAAGAACTCTGAACAGCATCACTGTGTTTCCTGGAGAAATTTTAGTATCCGTTTTGTTTATGGATGGATGATTCTCCGGCTGAGTCCAACAGTTGCATGCACTATAATTCTGTCAAGTTTAGGTTAGATTAGGTTTTTGGTTTACAAAATAATAAACAGCTAATACAGCGAACGATGGTTATTTTTGGGTTGATAACACCCAACGCGGCAATTACGATAGCTAATGGTTAGATTAAGGTCAAAATATGAACTAAGATTGGTCTAAATTTCCTATAAAGCAAACTTAAAATAGCGGTAATCCTACAGTGGCTCTTTTTAGACATCACCCACTCTACAAAAAGTTCTAAATTTTTTTTAATGTTGGTAACAGAATGTTGAAAGAAAAAGTCTTTCAACTGAACAGTTGCCGAAATTTCAAGCATTATTTAATTGCAGTAACATATTAATTTTATTTAATAACAGTTTTTTATTTGTCTTACAGTGGTTCCCCTTGAATGTATTGGTGAAGGTTATAAGAAATTAAATATATATTATAGGTAGTGGCAACCATTTTCTATGTACAGTTAATCCTCACATTACGCGGTCCCGCATTCCGCGTTTCACCGTTACCGCGGTGCCTTGCCAGAACCTAACATGCTCACATTCCGCGGTCGTGAACGCCATTACGCGGAGAGTGTCCGGCGCGACGCTATTTTTAGATTTGCCCCACGCGCCACCCACCCGCCCGCCTGCCTGCCTCTCCCTCCTCCTCCCTCCGCTTGGGCAAGCGGCGCGGTAAGGTTGCGCAGTGTGTGTCTTTGTTGCGTTATCAGTGACGTCATATGACGTATCGGACTGTGATTGGCCATGCATCCCTACCCCCCTCTGCTGCTAGCTGTAATTGGCTTAAAGTATTATGACGTGTCCACCCGGGGGAGGGAGGGAGGGAGGAGAGACGACGCTTGACCTAGCCGCGGCAGTTTCATCCCTCCAGGCCACTCCGTGTAAACGCGCATCCATTGTTCCGTAAAATGGCTTCCGCCGGACCACCACCCCCAGAGAAAAACCTTTCCTTACCTGGACCCAGCGGCACTAAACCAAAGAAGACACGACGTTCCTTAAGCTACGAGGTGAAGTATACCATCATCCAAGAGTTGGAGAAAGGAACAAGGCAGGTTGATTTGGCGCGCCAGCATGGCGTGAACGAATCTACGATCCGGACTATAAAGAAGGATTCAGCCAAGATAAAGGAGCACATGAAGATCACAAAGTCTACAGGTGCTTCTATGATCAAGTATTTTCACAACCAGGTGCTTCTCAAGACAGAAAAATTACTTGTGAGGTACTTGGTGCGTCAGGCGCGACGGAACATGGCGGTCGACACGCGCTCTGTGAAGGACTACGCACGTGAACTGTACATTGCAGTGGCACGAAAGATGGGAACTTCAGAGCCCAAACCCTTTACTGCTTCCTCTGGGTGGTTACAGAGGTTTAAGATCCGGAACAAGATCACCAATATCAACATTGGTGGTGAAGAAGCGAGTGCTGATCGTGCTGCGGCTCGGGAATTTCCTCCGTTTTTACGTGAGATTATGGAGGAAGGACAGTACAGTGACGACCAGGTGTTTAACATGGACGAATCTGGTCTTTTCTGGAAAAAACTACCTTCCAAGTCCTACGTTGTGAAGAATGCCAGCAGGATTCGGGGCCGGAAAATGCAGAAGGAACGCATCACCGTCCTGTTTACCACCAATGCCTCCGGTACCTGTAAGCTCAAGTTATCGGTGATCCACACAGCCCGCAAGCCGCACGCCTACAAGAGCATGGACCTGACCAAGCTAAATGTCCACTGGCTGACAGCACGTAAGGCATGGATGTTCTCTACACTGTCCCTCTCCTGGTTTGATGACTGTTTTGTTCCCGATGTAAAGAAATTCTGTGAGCAACAGAATGTCCCATTTAATATTTTGTTGCTGCTGGACAACGCACCAGGACACTCGCCCCTACTGTTAGATCGTCACCCCAACGTAAAAGTGGTCTTCCTTCCTCCCAACACTACGTCTTTAATCCAGCCCATGGACCAGGAGTTGATTTGCAATGTGAAAGCTGCATTCTCAACAAAAAAATTCCAGCTCCTGAACGACTACACCAACACCAGGGAAGAGTTGCGTGACCTGAGTGACACCACCACCGATAGCAAGAGCGACGAAGATGAGGAACAACGGTTAGAACAGCAAAAAATACTCTTCAAACAATTCTGGAGAGTATTTAACATCAAGAAAGTTGTGGACATCTTGGTGGAGTCATTTTTTTTTTTTTTTTTTTTTTTTTTTTAGGTTAAGGTGGGGAAAGGATGGAAGGCATGCTGGGGCTCAAGGCACAGCCAGACATGAGGGATGGAGAAGTCACAACATATAGTCGTGGGGGGAAAGGTTGGAAAAGAAGTTTAATGAGTTAAACAGAGGGGGACGATACATGGGATCAGCTGTCTATTGCTACAATTCGTCACGCATGGAGACATGTGTTGCATGGAATACCAGGTGAGAGGAGGAGTCAATCTGTGACTGGTGAGGTTCAGACTGTTGCAGTAGCAGTGGACCTTGCCAGAGAAGCTGCGCAGACTGTTACAGTTCCAGGCTTCTCCGAGACCACCAACGACGACATCCTGGAGGTGATCAGAAATCCTGAAGTGACTGCCGACGAGATGTTGGAAGAAGAACACGTCAGTGAAGAGGAGGAAGAAGGTGCGTCAGTCTCCGAAGAACACAATTTAAGTCATAGTGATATTAAGGGTGCCATGGAGTGTGCAGAGAAGATGAAGTCCTTCCTTTCCCGCGACAATGACGATGACCGCTATGAAGTCTTCCATAACCGGCTGGTGCAGGCTATGGAGCCGTACATCAAGGTGTATCACGACAACATCAACGCCAGCCGTCAGCAAAGCATAACAGATTTCTTCACCCGCAACCCACCACAGCCAGCCCAAGCCAGTGATAGTGACAGTGAAGTTGACTTTGAGGGATTTGTCAGGGAAGCCCTGACAACTGTAAGTGACAGTGATGATGATTCACCTAGTAATGGCGATTCACCTGAGGGCCAGTAATCTGCCCTCTGCCTCGGAACCAGCCTCCATCCCCGTATGCCGACCCATCTCTTCTACTACCGTAAGTGTTCCACCTAACTTTTAGTTTCTCTAAGGTAACCTTCATTTTTCCTATGTTAACCTTTATCTTTCCTAACCTAACCTCTTCTATATTACTTGTTTTTTCATACCATCATAAAGTTAAGATAAAATTTTTACTGCAACATAGTTATGTGTCGTCAAAAAGTGGAGTTTGGGGATCGGCCTGGACTCCATTTCAATTAATCCCATATGTTATGTTGTTCACTTTACGCGTTCCTCACTTTCCGCGGGACCCTCCGGGTTACATTAACCGCGATATGTGAGACCCAACTGTACAGTACGTATTATATTTACTGATAATTATATATAATCTACTGGTACAATTATTCCTCTGTTTTGTGAACTTTAAGTGTCCAAAATTTAACTTAATGAACTAGACAAATTAGGAACCATTTTTCTTGGAACAGTGCAAAGAATTTTCACTTTTACAAGGTACACACACTCACACACCATTTTTGCCTTCCAGCACTTTATATTTAATCTTTGAACTGAATTATTCTTTAATTACTGCAATATTTCTCTGGGCTAAAGTTTGTCTAATTTTAAACTATGGGAGGGATTTTTAGTACAAAAAATTGGGGTAAAAGACATCTTGGCTTTTAACATGGGATACTGTGGAAAAATTTAGTCCCATTGAATTGGAATTCACTTTATGAAAACATTTTTGGGAATGCACATTGTTCATTAAGTGGGGTAAAACTGTGTTAGAAGGTAAAAAAGTCACCACTTATTTAGATAGATATGTATGTGAGATGGAGAGAAGGAAAGAAAGATAATGGGTAAAAAAACAAAGATTTGAATTTATGGAGCCTTTATGAACCACCCACATTGTAGGTTATCCTTTCTCATTAAAACTTTTTCTTATAGATAATTCTCTAATCACAAACAGTTGTCTTCATTGTGGCTAGTCCTTGTATGAGAAAAAAATGAATATTTTTAGGTGGTGGAAGACAGGTTACAGTTAGTTTGAAAGACATGAGCAAGTTAACAGTTCAAATGTTTAGGGGTGTTGGTGGTACAGGGGTAGTGTGCTTTCCTCTCACCATTGCGGTCATCGGCTCAAGTCCCCAGGATGGATGTGAGAAGGGTGTTATCTAGTGTGACTTTACCAAACATCACTGGTTTTCCCCGTGAAATCCTGTTTCCTCCTGTACTAATTGTGGACAATGAAGGTTGTCTCAAAGAACAATCTGACCACTTGAACTGCTGGAATTATGATAAGTGGTGGAAATGACCAACAAAAATAAGAAAGATTAACTAATTTATTAAAGTAGAGGGAAAGAAACAGTTTCACAATGATCTATTGTATCCTCAAGTTGTCAACAACTACAGTGTGACACAGAGGCTTGTCAAGCTGAGCTCTGTGTGCTTACAGAGCCAGCTCTGAGGAGCAGAAACTATACAGTATGGACCATGTTGATGAGTATCATCTGCCCATCACTTGACTGTTATTGTACTGTAAATGGTACAGTATTAATTAAACTAATGTTTACTGCTACAGTACTTTACTTATTTTGTAGTGATATATACAGTATCATCATTTGGAAGATTCCGAGATAAGTAGTGCACAAGGTCTCTGTTGAGTGGGCTACACATTTGAACCAGATTAGTAGTGATCCTTATCAGCCTAGCCAGAGGTTATAGCTACCTCTTTATCACTACATAGTACAGTACAGTACAGTACAGTACACTGATAAAAGTCAAAGATGTTTTAATAAATGTTGCCATCAGGATCTTAAATGCAGTATTTGCAAAGCTATGTTACCACTGTAGCCATCACAAATTACACAAATTACTTCAATAAAACACACACATGCATTTCCACATGTATATAAACAGTAAAAAAAAATGGTGTCTCACTCTTACTCTTGTAAGAACACAAATTTAAATTGTTAAATTATATACAGTATCTAATATTAGAGTGCACTCATTGGCAGTGTTCACTTTCCTAGTTTCTCAAAACTATTGATTTGTAATTAAATTGTTTTGTGGAGTTTAAAGATGATGTAGCCTGTAGTGATTTTTTTTCTGTTGAGAATTGTTCGAAGCTAATCATGAAAATATCTTATTAGATCCAGGTCTCCTGATGCCATGACTAATAATTCATGAAGACAGAGTAAGAGAGCGTTGATTGTTGAATTTGTCTGAGAGGCTCACATAAGGCAGCATAATGCGAAAGGTTGAGACTGAGTTTGTTCATAAGATGTTGTACTCAAACCTGGGTGCAAGTATGGACATATATTTCCAGGTTTGCTTCTGTTACACAACTGGACTGTAAGAAGTCAGTTGTTGTACACTTAGATCAGTCCATACCTTAACCTTGTGATATACCAAGTATTGTGTAGAGTACGGTACACACATTTTGGTACATATGATGTTTCTTGTAATATAAGACAGCCTGTAACATTTGTAGGGTGAAGGCAAGGTTTTTAGAATATTATTGTGTGAATTATGCCATTGAACAGACCTACAAAAACACCATCACACAACCTTGGCTTCAAATAAAGACAAAAGTCAGGATAAACTAGCGAGAGGCTGTTCATATCCAAGTTGAAACGCAGAATGATAAGAGATTTATCCTGGTGGACGCTTATTTGTTTATCAAAATTAGTGTACAGGTACTCACATGTTATTTAACTCCATTGCCCATAATGTGCAGTAAATTGTTAAGAATTTTAAGAGTGTGGTGTTTCATTCCTGTATATGTAAGTGTCATAGAAATTGCCTTGCTTTTATTAACTGGCGTGTTTGTTTTCATTATATTACAGTAGTTGCATTTGTTTTATTGCTAGTCACAGGTTTTATTCTGAACCTGCTGCCCACCAAAGTGGCTGACTTGACTAATGTCCCATCTGGTTCAAACATGTCTTGAATCAAAATCTCTATTATTCTGATAATGAAATTGTAAGCTAGGTCATACTTAATCTATAAAAATACATTTCTTTCATCATTCAGGGTTATTGTAAGAATGCTGAATGTTGTAATGTTGATTCCTTAGCTTAGTGCTGAATATTGTAATGTTGATGGATGATTCCTGTGGTTATTGCTCAATGTTATGAATGTTGACAATTCATATTACCATTGGTAAAGAATACAATATTGATTATTTATTTATTTTTTATTTTTTGGCTTGCAGGTGATGGTGTTATAAAAGGCGGGGGAGGAAGGCCACCGCGATGTCCCTTTTTCGCAAGAGCCCAAAAAGTCCCCAGGAGGTGTCTAAAGCCCTCAAGGATGCCCTTACAGCTCTTGAACGATCTGACAAAAAAGCTGAAAAGGTACAACATACTGTACAGAGTATTGGATTGTACTGGTGCAAACTCCTTCAGTTGTACTTTTGTTTTACCATTGTGTTTTTTTTTTTCTGAAATAGTATTGTAATTCACTGGAGGAGTACAGTAGTGTTTTAGTGAGGCTTGTGTTGAGGTGATCGATGCTTGATAAGAAATGGCATATCATATACTGTACCAGATCAAATTTTAGAGTTAACTCAGATATTAAGAAATGGAGAAATGTGGTGGAGGTAGTTGTAACCTGAGATTTTACATGTACACTCTCCCCAAAAAGTATTGGTCCCTTTTCTCATCGATACAATGTGTCACAATGGACGAATATTTCCGATTACTAATTGTGATTCCTGCATTATGTTGGTCAGCCTGCCTTCCTCGTATCTGTGAGGTTGCCAGTTATTATTTCTGGCATTTGTTGTAATTATGGTGCATCACCGTGCTCCATCTTTAGTAGAGTAATACAAATGATATTAATGTAGCGATAATATATCAACGGCAATCAAATACAGTCTCTCCTCGACTTATGACAGGGTTCCGTCCCAACGACCAGGTCGTAAGTCGAATTGGTCGTAAGGCAAAAATAATATAGAAATTCTAAAATGGGTGTCTCTTTTTCTTCTCAGCACCACGAGAACTCTCACTTTTATGCTTGCCTGCCATTTTAAAGGGAATTACAAAAATAAACATTTTGTCAGTACACTGCGCGATCACTAACGTCAGGACTCGAAAATACGTAATGTGAAAAATATTTTATACGACCATGGCCGTCGTATGTCCGGGTTGTCGTAAGTCGGGAACTACTGTGGTGTTTCTGCTGACCAGACTCATTAAAACACAATTTGCACTGATTTTACAGTGTGATAAATATCACATCTCCTTGCTGCTTAGGCCTATGTCGTGAAGGGCGGTGATACTGCCTCGTGTTTCCTGTGATGTCTCCATAGTGGCTGTCAATCCCATGGGAGGACTTAACGACATCGTCTCGTAGTGTGTATCAGATAATGTTCTGTAGCCAGCATGAATCATGAGATGATACGTTATATTCATAATTGTTACCTCATCAATTGAGGTAGAAATAATATCGAAATGTAGTAAATCATAATGTCAGTGTAATTTTATATGGCATCATAATACACCTGTAATTAATATACAGTAGGCCCTCTAAATTCGCGGGGGTTAGGCTCTCAAAATGACTCCGAATCGCCAAATTCGTGAATGATATTTGCTGACAGAAGTGTTACATTTTACTTGTGTACAAAAATGTACAATTCCTTTGTGTTTGCCTTGAATTCTTCCCTTACCTGCAGTATACAAAATACATTTACATGTGTGTGTGTGTGTGTGTAAACACACTCACACACACCTACTCTAAAGTAAATAATAATAGTTGGAAAATCTCAATTCAAAATGTACAGACTTCTTTAATTGTTTCTGATTATTTAATGGTACCCTCCAACTTCTGTGTGTTATTTGTATTTTTTTGTGTGTGTGTGTGTGTGTGTGTGTCTACACACACACACCTCTTAAAATTACTGTCTCAAATGAATATTTTCATCCAACCTGTCTTTTAGTACCTGCAGACATTCCAGGGTGTCAACCTTGATTAGTATTTGGGGAGGGGGGCTGTATTTGCAAATGAATATAATATCGGATCATAGTGTTTAGTATTTTGTTTCAAGCAATTCCATTGTAACCTTGATTCATGAAAACTTAGTAATGTTATATTCCTATTTGGCAACCCATCCCTGGGGCTGAAAAGTATCTAAGGTGCCATAAATCAGCGGGCTTACTCATGACGTTATTGGTTTTGCATATGGTATCACAACTCATCCTATTTTATTACATTATGTAGAGAATAGGTGGTATACTGCAGGTATCATGGTGATCAGGTGCAAGTAAAAAGAACGAAAGGTACAACTCACAATCAGAAATACCAACCGAACCGAGGCTGCTATACACGTGTGTGTTCATTTCCAAATACATCAGGCCCGGGGGAGCCGATACTTTTTGGGGAGTGTGTACCACTAATTTGCATGTTAAAAATGATGTTCTGAATTTAAGTAAAGTAGGGGACATATTCGCATTTATCTTCCAGCACAAAGCAGCACCAAGATAAAAATGTTAGATGTACAGATACTGTTCATATACAGGATTTTGTTCATGTAAGTCACTGGAACCAGTGCTGTGTCCACTTTAGTGCTTGAAGCTAAGGCTGCAAGATGTGACGTGCAGATGACATCCATCCTGCTTGAGTGTTAGATATTGGCTTTGAGATGGGTATGAGTTTGAACTGTGTGCAGGTTTTCATTATACATAACATCAATTAAATTCATCTTTGTTCACTAGGCACAAGAGGACACTAGCAAGAGCCTGACTCAGATCAAAACGATGCTTTATGGCACCACTGACTCAGAACCTCAGGATATAGTGTTGGCGCAGCTGGCACACGAGTTTTACAACACCAATATGCTCCTGCTACTTATTCTTAACCTTCATAGAATAGACTTCGAGGTGAGTGACCTATCAACTGTATACAGATAATACGTTTTTACTATTAGTGCTAACACAGCCACAGCCAGCAACAGGGGATGGAATGTTCAGTGACACTACAGTATTAGCAAGACACGACTCTTTCTGATTACACTATTAATTGAATTAGAAAAATTTTCAAACATGGTAGAGGAAATGAAAGGTTTTCAGAAAGATTCAATCCTATCACCTCTAACATGCTATTATAGAAAAAACCCTGCAATAGTCAAGTGTTTGTTCAGTAGGGGAATATATTCAATAAAAAATTTTTGGGTCATCATCTTCACTGTTTTACAGTGAATTTCCATGCTTGCATAGCTTAGCTGTGTTTACCTGATGGCAGCACTCCAAGCTGCACAGTGTCTTGCAGCTTCTCTCTCTCTTGGCGGGCATCAGGCAAAGTTGAAACACGTTTTGTAGCATTAAAGTACTGTACCTGTATTCTTTGTTCTAGCTACTGTGTATGGTTAAATGGAGTTCAGACAAATCTTAAGAACATTGACAATAATATTGGTTCTTTAACATGTATTAGAGTGTTTGGGATGATTCAAATGATGGCTGAGGATGGGTCTTGGACACTGGGGAGAGAGGAGTGTAGAGAGACATATGTTGGAATTATTTCTGGAATAAATGCATTAAAAATGAATTAAAATTTGCTTCTAAAAGTTGTACTGTATCTGATATAACTAGCACTGTATACACGTGCAGGAGCATACAGTGGTATGGTTGTGTGTACAGTATTGTGCAAGAATCGTACAGTACAGTACTCAGGTTTTCTATTTAAATTCATGTTTATAATGTAGTAATGATGTTTGATGCATGAGATTTTTTTTTTCATTGTACATTACATTTATGAAGATCTTTTACAGGGCAAGAAGGATGTGGCTCAGATCTTCAATAACATCCTGCGAAGGCAAATAGGTATTCGTTCCCCAACAGTTGAATATATTTGTACTAAACCAGAGATTCTCTTTACTCTCATGAAGGGGTAAGTGATATCCTCAGTGTTTTATAGATAATTTACCATTTATACTGTTGAGCTCTTAAGTTATTAACACATTTAAAGTAAATTGACTTAGAATTATTTAATGTTGCAATTGTTGTACAAGTGTTCCTCTACTTAAGAACGTTCAACTTACAAACTTTCAGAGATACAAACATCATCAATGAGGGGGTTACCTGCCAGAACAGGTGTTTAATGTGGATGAGACTGGATTATTATGAAGAAAATTCCAGATAGAACAATCATTACCTAAGAGGAGAAGAGAGAGCCAGGTTTTAAGGCTGTATTAAAGGGTATAGCTGTACTAAATATCCATAATCTTTTCATTTTTTTCAATATGTTTGGTATCTATAAGAGTAAAGTTGGACTTGCAAACAATTGTACTTACAAACAAGCCTCAGGATCTTGTTCATAAGTAGAGGAGCACCTGTATATTGATGCATATTTTTTTCACATGCACTGCTTTAATATTAGTTGCTCCATTAGTGCTCCCCAACCTGACTCTTAATTTCTGCCTGCATATAATTCCCATTTTAGACTTTGCTCATCTTCTATGCACCACCATGCTGTTACAAATTTTAGGTGACTCATTCAGCCATTTTCTTAGTCGTTTGAGAGCTAGCTCCCGAACGACTAAGAAAACAACTGATTGGCTTGATGTTGTTAGAGGTATATGCAGGGTGTAACTTACATTAGGGATTGTAAGAAGATAGAAAGCTATAAGTTGGTAGTGTGTAGTCTTGTAAACAGACTCGGCAATTATTTACTTAAAACGGTGAATAGTTACTTTACAGTCCATCATTAAGGGTGAATGAACCTGTTTTAATATCAATATTACAGCTGGTTGGAATTAAGGTATTGTCCATCATTTTGGTGACCTCACTGTGATTTCTGACTGATGAGAATTTGAATTCCTTCCCTTGGATTGAGGATTTTTTTCCTCATTGCTTATGTAGAAAGTCATATTCATTTACATCTTTCTTTCAGCTTTGTCTAACACTTCTTTCATTTCCACAGTTCTTAATTTTTGAATTTCTGAGTTAGATTGAGGATACACATTACCTTTGATACCCTTACTCAGACAGGGCACCCCATCAAGGTTTCTGTGTGTGTGTGTGCTTTATTTATTTTTTATTTTTGCTTTTATGTAGTGATAAAATTCTACATGGATACCTTTTATTATAACATGTGGAAGATCCTGTCAGATATTTATGATGGTATTATTCCCTGAGGTTATTGAAACTTTTGCTTATCAGTGATGCCAAGGATTCTCTCTCATCTCTCTCACAGGAACATAACAACAACAAACAAAGGAACATAATTTTTTGTCAGTCTTGAAACCTGAGAATGTGCACTTATTTAAAATGTTTCCTGTGTCCCAGATATGAACACCAGGATATTGCCCTTCACTGTGGCACAATGCTTCGGGAGTGTGCCAGATATGAGGCCCTCACAAGAATCATCCTTAACAGTGATGACTTCTATAACTTTTTTAAGTATGTAGAAGTATCTACTTTTGACATTGCATCTGATGCCTTCTCCACATTTAAGGTAGGCCTATGTGGTTTCTTGCCTTATTTCATCTCATTTCCATTGATGGGAGTAAATCTTAAAGAAGTAGACTGAGATATATTTAACTTTAAATTATAAGAAGAATAAGGAAAATACGTAATTTTAACACTTATATACATTGAAAAATAATGCAGTACATTCTTTGTCAAAAGAATACACTATACCAAATGTATCTCCACATTAAGCTTGCTAGCTATAACTATGGTGTAAAAATATTGTGTGTGTGTCTTATAGTGTACAGTACAGTTGGCCCTTAACATACGCGAGGGTTAGGTAACAGAGATACCCGTGAATGTTAGAAATCCGTGTACTTTTGCTGCCCGCCACCCCCCCATGTCCTTATTTACCATATATACCTGTGTGTAGTTCGAGTTTTTAAGACCAAATTATTTGGCAAAAAATTGGGGGTCGACCTCTAAACGTGTAATAGTTTCGTTAGGTTAAAAATATTTACCAATAACTACCAGTAAACAATGGAAACGATGCACCAACGCACCACCAGCTGTGAGTGTTGGTACAGTTGCCAGGGCAGATCTCTTGCGTCATCATAGCAAGCCCAAAGTAGCCAAATCCATGGTATGGTAGCACAGGACGATGTAAAACATAAAGTATTCATTTATTAAAGTTTATTTATAGATACTGGACATAAATTTTTGTTCATTACATTTGAAACATCAATCTTTGTTAATTAAATTTGAAACAAAAGAAAACTACGATACCGTATTTTCATTAAAATATTACATCACAAGTATATTTTACCTTAACTGTGATTGAATGAATATACGTATTCTCAGAAATAAATATAGAAATGTAATATTTTTGCTGAATTGACGTACGTATTACAGTGGAAAGTGGGATAAAATCATGACGAAAGCAATGACTTTCGCTTTCTTTCGTTCAAAAGATGTTACCGTAATCGCTTTTCGAATGGTTTTCAGTTAAAAAACTGTTGTATTACAATAATATTCCCTCCTAATTGACTTGAATAAATACTTGAATGGAAATATACAATATTTTTGTTGAAACTACCCGCGTTTCAGTGTTAAGTGTCGTAATAATAAATGGTAAACAATTTGCCTTCGGCACTCGGTGTTTCAGGCACGGTGAGCCTCAGTTCATAGGACGTAGAGTGTTTTTACTGAAGGTTTTGTTGTTCCAATACCCTCAAAAACTTGGGTCGACCTATAAACAAGGAATATCATAAATTAATGATTTTTTTGTCAAAAAATCAGGGTCGCCCTACAATGCTGATGTCAACACAAGCGTGGTTACAGCGAGACTGACTGAGTGAGGGAGTGTGTGTGTGTGGGGTGGCTGGCGGTGTGCGGTGCCACGCACGATTTGAATGGCACGCGATTTGAATGTATTTCAATTACTTCAATGTACAGAATATTCCTCCGGCTGGGCAATCCGCGTATTTGCGAATCCGTGTATGCTAAACCCGCGTATGTGAAGGGCCGACTGTACTAGTAATCATGCATATGTTGAAAAGTAGGATTATTAAGTGTTTTTGTGTACATATCACAGTACAATACTACAATAGTAAACCTTTTACAGGAGCTTCTGACAAAACACAAGATGCTGTGTGCAGAGTTCCTAGAACAAAACTACGACCGTGTATTCTCACAGTACGAGAATCTCCTCAACTCTGATAATTATGTGACTCGAAGACAGTCACTCAAGTTACTCGGGGAACTTTTATTAGACAGACATAACTTTTCTGTGAGTAGGACTGTTTTGTTTATTTATTTATTTTATGTATAAGCATGTGATAATTTTAAAAACTTGAAAATTAAAAAAAAAATTCTGAAACAAATTCACACATGTTATTTTTACTTAACTATTTCTTTCTCCATATTTGCTAATTAACTTAGAACTGAAGTGTTGAAAGATGGACAGGTAGGGTGAAGAAATGGAGGTATAAGCCAGCTGGCAGGTGCATGCAGTTACTGGCATCTCGGAAGCAAAAACTAATTTTTAGACGAATCACTTTTTCTTTTTGTATTATTACGCACACTACCATCACTTTTGTTTTTGCTTAGAGACATTTTAAGGGCAGCATATCTGGTTTGAATCCACAATATATGCTGAATGTGATACTAGCCTGAACTATGCCCAGAAAACAAGTGCTACCATGATTTCTAGGCTTACTGACCCGTCAAGCCTGCCAATGACCTTTACCGTACCTCAGATTATAGAATATGAGTATGAGTGTACTGGCTTGGCTGGTACTCAAACACAGCCAAGGAGTGACTGGACTAATTCCATGAACGATAATGCAAGGTTGATCACACAGAATTTTTCTCATTAAATCGAATACAAGTTTGTTCACTGAAATTTCATACCCAAAAACACTGTGATCACTGAACAAAATTTACAGTTGTCAGTGGGACCTTACTCTATGTAGGTAGGTTTGATTTATCCATAAGTATTTAATTACCTGCCAGTATTATTGATGTGGTGAAATAATGTTTTGAAAATTTCAGGTGATGAAGCGATACATCAGTAATCCAGACAACTTGAAATTGATGATGATAATGTTAAAGGAGAGATCTCGAAATATCCAGTTTGAAGCCTTCCATGTGTTTAAGGTGTTTGTTGCCAATCCAGACAAGCCTCGGCCCATCCTGGAAATCCTTCTGCGAAACCAGGACAAGCTTGTAGAGTTCTTGACACGCTTCCATACAGACCGCTCTGAAGATGAACAGTTCAATGATGAAAAAGCCTATCTAATTAAGCAGATCAAGGAACTGAAACCTCTTCCCCCGGACCAGTAGTTTTAGTGGACTAGAAGTGATGGAGTGGCAGCATTAGTAGTAGCCTGGGATATGTCTGGGCTGCTGTTGATTGAACCATGTCATCCAAAGAGAAGCTTATGAAAAGTGGAGCTTCCTTCAATATACCACAAATACCCAGTCCTGCCCTTGAATCAGCAATTGCAACATTGTTTAGCTTCCTCTATATTATGCCTTAGTGATCTTCAAGTTTTGCTAAGGGGATACCTGAGGCATTGCTCATAGCACGACCCTTAATAGTTGCTGAACAACTTCTCTTTGTTGAGGACAGTCAAAGATTGCATTGTAGTCTTGGGCTGGTGTTCTCAGCATGTTGTTGACCATGTTGGGGCCAATGTGAAGCTGTTTAATTATTCATTCATGACCCTGCTGCAGAGGGCATTCCAGATCTTATTTTATAAGTTTTTCATAAGATAACGGTCTGAGAGTAAAGATGAGGAGGCAGGGTTTCCCTTAGCTGTGGACCTAGATGATATTTTCTAATAGTCTCATGGTTTGCTTGTAATAATGTGTTCATCTTTTATAGGTGAAGTTGATTAATATTAAATTATTGAACTAACACTAACAGCTAGCAGTTACAAGTTCTTCATTATGAATAATTATCCATCGAGCTGCCATTGTAAAATTCCTCTTGTGCAGGATAAAATCATTTTATAATATTTGTATATAGACGTGTGTCGAAAAGGGATGTGATTTATATAGGACAGTGTTGGTTAATATATTTAGAGTTAATGATTCCTGCAGACAGTTTATTGTTTTATGTAATATTTCGGTACTTAAGGTTATTTAAAGTAATCCTTTAGAGAGCATCAATACATAAGCAAGCAGCCATATTTCTTTTTGTGTAGAAATTAATTTGCAGCTGATAATGCCAATAACAGTTCTTGGGCTTTTTTTTTTATTTATTTATTTTTTATTTTATTTTTATGGAAAGACACATTCATTTAGGTAGGGACAGTCTTGGGGGTGGTAGATATTAATTTTAAATTATCTGTTGAAACCAGTAAATAGCAACAGCTTTAGGTGAATCCAGGTTTTATATAAATGAATAACCTGGCCTGCCAACTTTATTGTGTAAGAAAGTTTAATAACTGACCAGAAGTATCATTCTTGGTGTTATATAAAGGGGTTTGATGGCTAGTATGGTAAACAGCTGTGCTTTAAAGGAGACACATAGTGATCAGTACACTAAGTGATTGTCAAAAATGAAGAAGGAATCAATTAGCTTGAAATGTTAAGAGATGGTACTGCTTGTTGTTGTAATGCCTGAACATGGAAGACGAGGAGCAGTCTGTGGATGGAGTAAAGTTTGAATGCTGCCACAAGTTTAGCATATGGCAATGTGATACATATTTCCAAGGGAAAGTGTCTTAGATTTTTGCATCAGTGGTTTTCGAATTCAGTCCATCATGATGTGAGATTTGTATAATAATTTTTGTTTTGTTTGTTATGTTCAGTTTGTTATTGAAAATGATTTATTGTTTTTAAAGTGATGAGCAATGTTGACAGTATATTTGGTTTGGATTATATAGGGAGCTTCATCACAATATTTGGTAGTATTTGGCAAATTTCAAGCAGAGGAAACATTTGGCACAGTTTTCGTATGAAGTAAAGTAATTTTACTATTTTTATGTATCAGTTTTAATTTATATGAATTTCAGCATCAAAGAATATTGGCTAGTGAATCCATGCCAAAAAATATAAGAAATAAACATCGGTGTTGATATTTCCTTTTCCTTCATTATCTGTTGAAAATGAGGATGTAGTTATAGAGGTCACTTAAATAGATCAAGTGCCTTTTACTTAGTGTTTAAGTTGTATTCAGTAGCTATTAACACCGAGAGACTTCCACGACCGTCAACAAGACACCTTGTTCCTTAGTCGTCTTCAGCATAACACCATACAAAATGGTTATTCCATATTCAAACCACTCGAGCAGGTCCCTCACAGTAACAGATGGGTTCCAATCAGCCTTTGTTGCCTACTAGTGGAACCATCAAGGGTAAAACCCATTATGTGAGATGCCTTTTATCAGATTTTTCCATGTGAATATCTTAATCCATTATTTTCGTTCACTATCTGGGGACTCGAGTAAAATCCATTGAATGGGATATTTTATTAGTTAATTTTCAGTTAATCCAGCACACACGTCTGAGCTTGTCGGAGAGTGACCCACACTCGGTGTTTTTTGATGCACATGTGATGATTGCAACCTACAATAAGGTAATGTAGACCATGTATTATATGACCATGAGCACAGCAGCATTTTATAATTAAGATTTTGTGAACCATAGCTATAGAGATTGTCTTTGTACAGAGTCGGAAAAAAGTCCTGTCAGTCCTTAGTCCCATCGATGTACCTGTGAATCTGACATCACATTGTTAGTTGGGGCCCATAGATGAGATACTGCGTGATATCTTGGATTCACAGGTTCTGAGTCTCAGGGTTCATGGATGGGACATAAGACAGGAGTTTTTTGCATAACTATAGAGGGTATTTTTTGGTGTTAACTATTCAAATTGCACTCAAGGTCCTCCCAGAAGTTGAGATATACTTGAAAGTTTTCCATGAGCAACCACTCCCACCTAACCTTAGCAAATCTAGCATGGTATTTACTCAATGCGTATATTACCTGAAAATTTCATCTTTGTCTTTTAAGGTCACCTGTAAAATTTTTCAAAACAGTAATCACCAAACTTTTTCTTCATGCTTCAGTGATAGGCGTAATTCGGTTAAAACTTGTAATTATTTTCACAACTTATTTCATGAAATTTCTTTAAACAGCATCAACACTTGCATGACAGTAGCTCAAAATTTAGAGACACGCATACTTGACTGAGGAGAATATTCAGGTTAGTGCAGACATGTTGCTTCTAATGTACAGTCAACAAAAAGATATTCTGCACCCATGGGTTTGACAGCCTTCCCTTCATTAATTTGGTAAGGTTGGCACTTCCGATTGTGTAACCAATATGATGTTTTCTGTATATCACATATAGTTAATACAAAGAAATTAACAGGAATCACCCAAGTAAATGAGTGTCGTTCAGAATTCTTGGTCTGGTGTGTCATATTGTATAACTCGATATGCAGAATTATTTTTTTCTTGACTGTACTGTACTTAAAACTTTTTAACCAACTTATTCTGTGTTTAATAGAATGGAAGCTTAATTCCTAACATGCTGTATATTCTATCCCCTGGGATATCACATAAATAATTTAAACTAATATTCATTCCATGATAATATTCTGTTGTCATACAATTAGGTCTTCAGAACCAGCCTGAAGTGCAATAAGATCTTTTGATGAATTTGATTCTCTGATTTAGCGCCACCCACCAAGTTTGGGAGAATGCTTTTGCTAAATGATAACCTTTTCTTCAAATATAAGAATAAATAAAATTTCAAATATCTCTTTGCAATAGGAGTGATGAAAAGAATTAATTACTGTACTTGTATTGTTATACAATACTGTAGTTTATGTGCAGTACTCTGAAGCCCCAATAAGCTTAGTTTTGTTAAATCTGCAGCATACAAATATAGAGCACAACTAGCAAGGCTTTGCGACCAAAATGTTTTCTATACTTTTCAAATGTAGGCATACAAGTACTGACAGGATCAGAGACCTGTCAAGTTGGGAGACAAGCAAAATATTAAGACAGTCTAGCACTGTTTGTATTGAAGAGGAAAAGAACGAGACACGGCATTGAACAATTTTCCAAAAGTCTGACAAGTAATACATGTACTGTACTGTAATACATACCTGAACTCCCTCAATTGCTTGACTAACTATAACAAATACTTTTACTTTTATCCTCTTCGCCACTGATTGGCTCGTTAGCCGCTTGGGCGATCGGTCACGTCTCTGTCACGCACTGTTGGCAAGTACTGGGCATGCACCGGCTCCTGAATGTACCTGAACCCGCTCCAGTGTTGGCCAAGTTTTGTCTTAAAAGAGCTCACACTCGGTGCCGTCACAACACACTCTGGTAGATTGTTCCAAGAGTTTGCAACCCTCACTCCGAAAAAGTTTGCCCTCACAGTTTTTTGGACTTGCGGCTTCTTCAATCTTGAGCTGTGACCCCTTGTGGGGCAAGCGTCCGCCAGCTCCAAGTAAGGACACTCAACTGAGTAGTGCCCGCTGAAATGCTTATACACCTCAACTAGGTCACCCCTTGCCCATCTGTAGTATAAGCTAGGCAAGTTCAGGCGCTCCAATCTCTCAGGGTAGCTGAGGTGCCGAAGTGCAGGCACCAGTCTGGTGGCCCTCCTTTGAACATTTTCAACCAACTGACAGTCCCTAGCATATCTTGGGGACCAGACGGGGTGACATTACTCCAGATGGGGAAGCACTTCACTCTTGAAGATCGTTACGAGGGACGGACCGTTTAGATATCTGAACGACCTTCTTATAAGACCCAATAATTTATTTGCCTGGTTTACCTTCTTGCAATGGCCCGAGAACTTCAGCTCATTGTCAAAATACACGCCTAGGTCCTTCTCACATTCAGTCTCAACTAGTGCAGTTTCTTCATCCCGTTGGGACATATGACACGCCTCCTTACCGTTGGTACGCCCCAGGTGCATCCTCTTACACTTCGTGACATTGAATCTCAGCAGCCATTTCTTCGACCATTCCTGGAGCCCACAGAGGTCCTTCTGCAGCTGTTCACAGTCCGCTTGGTTCTTAATTTCCCGAAATAACTTGGCGTCATCGGCAAATATTTGTATGGAGGAGTGTACAACGTCAGGCATGTCATTTATGAAACAAACAAACAACAGCGAGCCCAATACACTGCCCTGTGGTACCCCACTTGTGACAGGTACGGATGACGATTTCGTGCCATTAATCACCACACACTGCTTGCGGTCATGTAGAAAGTCTTCTATCCACATTAGGACATTTCCCCGAATTCCGTACCCTTCCAGTTTGATTTTCAGCCTTTCATGGGGTACACTGTTGAAAGCCTTGGCAAAATCTAGGTAAATATTGTCGATATTACCACCGCGTTCCAGAATATGGGTCCAAATATCCAATACCTTGAGCAATTGTGTTAAGCAGGAGCGCCCTGGCATAAAACCGTGTTGGCAATCCTTTACAAGGTTGTTTCGTATTAGATGTTCCATTGTGGCATCTCTGATAATACTCTCAAGTACTTTACATATTATGCTGGTCAGGCTCACCGGTCTATAGTTGTTCATGGAGTGACAATCGCCCTTCTTGAAGATAGGACTCACATAAGCCACTTTCCATTCACTGGGGACCTTTTGTTCATCCAGGCATTTACAAAACAGGATCTTCAGGGGCTCGGCAAGCTCGTTGCACAACTCTCTTAGCACTAGGATGCACCATATCAGGGCCAGGACTCTTATGGACTTTCAGCCTGGACAGTTTATTTCTAATACCCTCTTTTGTGAACACAATGTGGGTCAGTGCTGTGTTGAACCGTTTCCTCAAACTCAGGAAGGTTAGTTGCATCCTCTCCTGTGAACACCGAGGAAAAGAAGCTGTTCAATGCCTCAGCTTTATCCTGGTCAGAATCTGCGTAACTACCATCCTCAAGCCTCAGGTCTGATACTCCTACTCGCGTTTTCAATTTCGACTTTGCATAGCGGTAAAACGCCTTTGGGTCTGACTTGACCTCGCTTGCAACCAGCCTCTGGAACTCCTTTTCAGCCCTTCTACACTCTATCTTTGCTTGGTTTCTGACTCTCGCATACATCCTCCTGTCTTGCTCATTGTTTGACCCAACCCACGTCTTGAATTTCTGGGTTTTCTTAATTCTGTGTAGGGATCCCCTCGTATTCCTAGAAGCACTGGGTTTGGTCTTGGGTATATATTTATCGATGAAATGGGTCACTTTATACGAACATCATTCCACTGCCATACACTAGATATTGATACTTTTATGGAAAATTATGAAGAAAAAGGCAGCCAAATTGTTAGTTTTAATTGGGACACCTTATATTAAACTCTCCCAAACCCTTGGAGGGATCAATTACTTGTCAAATATCAAGAAAATCTGTGTTATCACATTCACACGAAGGTCAAGTTACAAATAAGAACAGGACAGATATGATGACGTGCGACTCCATAATACAGTATTGTGGGGTACGGGATATTGGTTCACACTCGGGATGGGATGGAGAAAGGAAACTCACAATGTGCTCTCTGTATACATATTGTATTGGATGTACAATGCAGCTTGGTGCTGGGAAGGCACCATGTTTACAAGCGTGATGTAGAGAGAGCTGGTTGGTGAGGGTGCTCAGAGGAGGACCAGCTTGTGGGTTGCCATGCTCGCCGGCTGGAGCGGGAGCCGCCAGGCAGGAGCGGAGGAGGTGTTGCTTGCTGGTGGCTGTAGGTAGAAAGGGCTTGGTTACCACGAGGTGAGGTCTTATATAGCGGAGGTAGGCGTGGCTTAATAGTTGACCTCAGTCATGTAAGGCGGCGCTGGTTGCTGACCTAGACACGAGGGCAGGCTGGTGAAATCGTGGGATGGCTAGTCAGCGACACAGCGTTTGTAGGATAGGAATCCACTACAATACTCCCCTTTCCCTCCAGGCAGTGCAGGAGACTTGTTGTCTGCAGGGTTGCATCCCACATGTGAGGCAGAACAGGCAGTGCAGGAGACTTGTTGTCGGCTGGGTTGTATGCCACATGTGAGACAACGGCGAGGGCGTGGATGAGCCGGCCGCTAGGGGAGACAACTTTG